TGCTCCACTCTCTCCTCCTCCCCCTTCATCTGCTCCCATGTGCTCAGATCAGATATGTCCCTCTCCCGGAGCTGCAGATTCAGTGCAGTCCTCTGAAATAAATTCTTCTGGGGGGAGGGGCAGGTGTCCACATAGTAGTTGGGATTGGGACCAGCCCCTTATACCTCTCCACTGGTTCCCTACTCCATGCTGGCATGTTGCATTCACATCTTGGAGCACTGGGTTGAAGTCTGGTCCTTCTTTCCCTGTGGAGATATAGAAAAATACCCTCCCCTTGGGTGGGTTGGTGCCCTGTGCCCCCGCTACCCACTTTTTTTTTCTTCCCCCCCTCCTTTTTAGTTGGCTACCATATGTATCCCTGGATTTGGTCTGGCTGGGTCTGGAGTTTTTCAAGGAAAGCGGGGAGAGGGAGGGCCGTGCTGCAGCGGCCAAGTGTGTGGCGCAGGGTGCAGTTGATCAGCCCTGGCAAGCAGGTCCGTTTTCAGGGAGTCGGGCATCCCAGACATTGTTCGTCGGTCTCCTCATTTCAGAGGGGCAGCTGCTGACCTCTGGGATGTGCAGGGAAGCAGGGCCCTGACCAGCTTCCACTCAGCCCAATCAATGTTATCTTTTCTTTGTTTCTCCCTCCAGTGTTGCATTTATGACACTTGAGACTGATAAAACTGTCCAGCTGAATCTGTGAATTAAAGAAGCAGAGTTTGGCTGGAGCCCCAAGACCCGCCCGGTCCACCCCTGTTTGTCTTGCTCAGTGCTTGTATTGTGTTTGGACCATCCATCAAGAATCAGAGTGATTTCCTAGTGGTGTGTTAGACGGACTAACAGGGGGATGTTTATTCTTCCAACTGGGGACTTGGAGCAGAGGGGCTTACCCCAGAGTGGACATTCACGGCTAAGTCGAAGCGTGTGAAGAGGACTGAGGCCCACCCAGGTGGGATGGTCAGCAGCATCGTGGCGCAGCTAACAATGGGCCCTGTTCAGCTACGGATTACGAATGAGGAGTGGTAATCATATTGTTCATTAGGGTTACAGTCACTGCTATGGCTACCATTCTCAGGATACAAGGGGAAAAAAGGCCAAATGGGGAGGAATTAAAAAGGAAACAAAAATTGCCTAAGTCAGTGCTTTAATATTGTCCTCTTCAGATGGCTTTATGGTATTGATCATATTTTTCCCTGTCTGTAGAAGATTTAGGCCATATACTGTCTGAAGCCTGTCGATGGGTAGATTAGCCGAGTTGAAGGGTGGTGTCCCTGGGAAGTGCACCCCGTGCATTTGACGGCTGTCTGATGAAAAGTTGGAGGTTCAAGTCTACCCAGGGCACCTCAGAGGAAGGCCCTTTGGAAATAAATCCGTGCTGAGAGACCTTATGGGACACCGTTCCACGCTGAGGTTCACGGTCGCCCTGAGTTGGGGCGGACGTGATGGCAAGTGGTGGTTCAGTGGAACACTCATTCCACGGACTCCCGGTGGGAGGGGTGGGAAGGAAGCAGAGGAGTCCTTGGGCTCCGTGTATCGGAGCCAATGTAAACGATGTCTCCAAGATTAACTGTGGACTCCTTTCTCTCCGTATGTCGGCCAGGAAGCCATCTTTCATCCAGCTTTGAGGAAGGCGCCTGCTTTGCAGGTTTCTGTGTTCCTGAGGAGACAGAAGTTAAGAGTCTTTCATCTGGGTGTTGACTCATCCTATTGGAGCAGCTCTCAATCCTCTTTAAAAATTAATTTGACTTTAATGTCTAGTTATTTAGGACGAGGCAGAGCTGGGATTACCTCCCACCAGGGAATGTTGGTTTTCAAATGGCCATTGTGTACAAGCCTCTGAAGCTCCCTGGTGGCAGTTACTGCCAGGCAGCCCCTGGTTTGGCTGAGCTGGAAGCAAGATCTAAGTCTTCAGGACCACACAGCCTGATTTCACAGTCATCAGCCGGGAGAATCCTTTGTTCCAAGCCAGCCGTGGGCTACTGCCTGGCAAGCTTACCGCCTTTCCAAATGCCATCCACCCAGGGAAATTGAGCTCAGGGGGAAGTAAACGGAGAACCAAAAGCCAACGCAGTTGCCATTGACTTGGCAATGGGTCTACCCTGTTGTGTGTGTGCTGGGCCTTTCAATGGCTGTGGCCTTTCAGAAGTAGATCGCCAGGCCTTTCTTCCAAGGGTCCTCTGGGTTGACTGGCCCCTCCAGCCTTTCCATGAGAAGCTGGGCACGTTACCCTGGGCGTCACCCATGGGCACCGTGACCGGAGGGTAGAACGAGTATGTTTTTCCTTAGGCTCTTGAGGATTTTCCTCGGCTTTTGGTGATGCTGAATGTCATGAAGCCTTTTGCTCCCTAACGTAGGAGTTTCTCATCCTGGTTTTCCAATCGCTCAGTCCCACTCAATTTTTCCAAGTTGTCCAAACCTATAACAAAAGCACGAGTTTTCATTCATCCTCTTTTTCCTTTAAGTAAAACAATGTGGTAGATTGTGATTAGAAGAGCAGAGAGAAAGCAGGCAAAGAACTAAATGTCATTGGAAGTTACTGCCCTGGTGGTTAGATGCCCTGCCATATCTGTAAAGATAAAACAAATGTCATTCGCAGCATGAGCCACATGTAGACCCCAGATGTTGGCCTTGATCCAGATCACGCCAGCCAGCTGACCTCAGACAGCAGGCTGGCAGGAGCTCTTTTCCGGTGAGGCAGACATGGTCTAACTCTACCCCCTTCTCCTTCTCTCTGACAGATGGGGAGCTCTCCATAGCCAACGACGACGACTCCCTGGAAAACGGGCAGTCCCTGAGCTCCAGCCAGCTGTCCCTGCCTGCACTGTCCGAAATGGAGCCAGTCCCGATGCCCAGGGGCCCCTGCTCGTATGACGGGCTCCAGCCTTCAGACATCATGGACGGGACAGGTAATGCCTCTGGCAGGGTCCAGCGCGTCCCCAGAAGGGAGCATCCCAGACCTCCCCCCGGGTTGGATTGGAGTTCTGATTGGAGCCACGATGAGGCTGCGCATCTGGGAGTCTGGATGACACTCACCACGGAGAGAGTCCTAAGTATGCAGCAGAAGGAGAATGTGTGCGTGTTTTCTACTGACACGCAACAACCCCATTCTTTGATTTGAGCACCCGTCTCCCCTCCCTCGTGGAAGATGTTTATAGTCATGGCGGTACAGTTAAAGAAGTGTCTTCATGACTTGACTCTCTTTGAAGAAGGTGGGCCTTGTCTGTACTACTGATGGTTTGTCATGCCAGCGCTTCATTTTCTAACACTGCTTTGGGTTCAGATGGAGCTGAATAAGCGTGCACTTCTACATGGTGCCTGTCTGGTTCACCTCCTTGAAAGGCCCAGGCAGGCTCTTTCACCCACGTCCCACTGTACCACTAGATCCTACTGGGTACCTTGTAGTCTTCCTGGACAACACAGGTGTGCCAACTTATCTGGCTTACCATTCCCTTTTCTTAAAAAAAGAAAAGAAAAAGAATTACTTCATGCCCCCTCTGACAATTAAAGACTTCTATCCTCTATAGCCCATAATCCAAGGTCAAGTGTAGGTCTCTGCTTTTGCAGCACCCCACCATCCTGATACTGCCCACGTTGGGAACATTGCACCGGGAGATTTTTTTCAGGTTACCTGACTGATCCAAATTCGTCTGAGTGAACAGCACACCTTCTCTGCAGGGGGTCCTGGGGGTCCTGATGAGGGCTGGGTACCGCTGATAGGATGGGGGTCTAGGAAGGGACCTCTGGGGATGTCCAGTGCATGGGTGGAAAGCTTATGTCCCCTCCCAACCAGGCCCCAAAGCCACGTCAGCAGAGCTCGCGCGGGAAGAAGGGGGAGAAAGGGGTGTTGGCACAGAGTTCATTCCAAAGCTCCACTTGGGGACGCGGTGAGTCACTGCTCCATCAGTGTGCCACCCACAGATAATAACAGTGCCCCTGAGACGGGGCAGAAATTGGTGGTTGTGAGGATGATGTGCGGGCCTCTGTGCCACCAGGAACTGCCCTGCTCCGTTTAGGAGGAAGAGGGCTGGAGGTGGGGAGTGGCGTGGAGGAGTGGCCTTCTCAGTGTAGCAGAGATGAAGGCCGGAGGGTGTGCAGTTGGGGTGATGTTTTTCTCCCCTAGGGGATCTTAAATTGGTTTTAACTTCAACCTTCCTCATGACATTGCCGTAGGGACTTTGCAGTGCGGCGGCAAAGGGGCCCGGGGCCCAGGCCAGGTGTGTGGCACCTCTCCTGGCCATCCAGAGGTGCCCTGTTGGGGGGAAGACAGAACCAAGCCAGACAGAGAATCCAGACCAGAAGCCCCCAATTCTGGGGAGTTAGAGGCAGGGGTTAGAATGAGGGAGGGGGAAGATGCGGATGTGAAACCTCCTTCCCCTTTTCAAAGCATACAGGAGCCAGGAAGGACACCTGCTGTCCCCGGGATGCATATTCCTGGCTTAAAGTCTGCTGCCAAGGGTGGAGGGCTCTTGAACCTGGAGGGGCAGCCGCCAGAGGCTGAGGCAGCAGCTGCCTCCTCCTTCGTTCCAGAAGTGGGAGCAGGCCCCCAGTCCACTCCCTCTCCAGCCCCCGCAAAGGATACCCAGCCTGGAAGGAAAGCGCCGGCACCTGGTTCTGATTCGGTTTTGAGAGGGTGTTTTGTCTGGGAGCTCCCCGCTCCTGCATGCAGGCCGAGCACTGCTGGGTCAGGAGCCACATTTGTCACCATCTCGATGCTGCTTTTGAGGGTCTTGAGCAAGTGTCCTCTTCTGTCTCCTCTCTCCTGCGCTTCCCGGCTCTCCTGTCCCTCTCCTTGGGCTGCCCTGTTACCCCACCCCTACCCCACCCCACCCATCACACCCTCACCCTCCCCCGTCTCTACTGGATTTCTGACATCTGCTGTCTAACTCTGGGCCCGCGCACGCACGTGAGAACAGGTTAGGTGCTGCTGACAACGACGATGGTGCTGGCCGGCGTCCCTGTCCTGTGTCCCGTCCCGGCCGAGCTGGCCGCTGCAATGCCGTCTGTGTAATGTCTCCTGTCTGTCATGTGGTTGTGTCCTCAGTGTCTGAAGAGAGCCCCTCTGCTGGGGAGTGTGGAGTCCTCCTGTCCCAAGATCCTTCCGCCAAACCAGTCCTGCTACTGCCCCCAAAAAAACCTGCTGCTTTCTCTGGAGACCATGAGGAGACCCCAGTGAAGCAGCTGTCCCTTCTCAAGCAACCCCCTGCCCTGCCTCCCAAACCCATTGCCAGGATTGTCAACCACTTAACAGGTGAGTCTCAGGGCTCGGGCCCTCCTTCCCTTCAAGGGATGGCACTGGTTTCACTTGTTTGATCTGAAGGAGCCTGCTGTACCCGTGGTGGCTCTGTGGGGTGCCGGGCTGCTCTGTGTGCGTCCCCATACACGCATTTGTCCCGTGGGTTTGTCAGGTTGTGTCAATCGAGAAGCCACACACACACACACACACACACACACACCAGGTTGTCCCATGCTAAGAGCCTTCCGTGGCATGTATCTGTGAGTATGTGCATTTATATTTCTGTGACGAATAGGGTGCCGTTTGCCCATGAACGTGAATTGCAATTAACTTCAACATCTTGGCACAGACAAAGAGGAGCACCTTGTAGCTTTCAGTGAGTTTGTCGGGGCTTTGGGTTTTATTTACTTTTGGTCTTGAACTTATTCATCTAAAGCCAGTATGTTGCTTCCATTGATATTCATTTTGGTGTGTTTCTTCTCTTAAAAAAAACAAAACAGAAACAAAGCATTGTGGGAAATCTTTAAAAAGCAATAAAAAAGGAACATTGACCTAACATGATTTTTAAATTTATTCTTAATGTGTTACTTAATGAACGGACCTGCGATGATAAAGGAAGACATGGATTACAATTGTAATTAGCTGTACATGTGCAGGGGAGAGAGAGAAGGCTTTCTACTCACGTGAGGCGTTACGATCGCCGAGGTGCACAGAGGCCGTTCCACTCTGTCCTGCGGGGTTGCTGCGAGTCAGCGTGGACTCGACGGCAGTGCGTTTGGGATGCAGGAGCGCGCGGAGTCAGGGTGGTGGGATGGGCTGCCCATTGCACTGCGAAGCACAAGGTCAGCGCTTCCAGCCCACCAGTGTCTCTGTGAAGGAAAAGATGAGGCTGTCTGCTCCCGAGGATTTAAAAGTCCCGAAAACGCACAGGGGCGATTCTCCCATGCCTTATGGGCTCACTATGATTTGAATCAACTTGATGGCATTGCGTTTGTTTTTGTATACTTTGGTATAGGAATCTAACGTCACTGTGTGCTTGACGCTTGCGGTATAATCAGAGATTCAAAGATTTATGAGGGTTAGTTCTTCAGCCTTAATAGTAGTTCCACTTGACACCCATCACCTGCCTCTTTGCACTGTGTGGTGTTTTTTACCAACAGTAGACAGGTAGGCCCTGCTTCGCCTCCCTTCAGGTGATGTGCCCCTGCATGCAACTGCGATGATATTGTTTTGTTTGCTGTTAAGGGGAAGCAACTTAGATAATAATGTGCTTATTCTTTCCTCCTAAGCGATTTAAAGCCTCCAAGCCCCCGTCCCACCTCCACCCCAGTGAATGAGCAGCTCCTGGGACTCTAGGGCACACCCCCATCCCCCACAGCACCTCCTCCTATTTCTTTCCCTGGCTTCATTCACCAACTCCCTTCCACCGCCACCCACCCCCACTCACCGCCTCCTCTCAGGGCAGGGCAGCACCTGCCATGGCTCTTCCACTCCTGCGAGGTGTAGGCAACACCAGCTGGACCATGGTGCTCATGGGCTCCTGGTAAGGAGGCAGTGCCAAAGGGCGGCAGCAGCCACAGCACACCCAGCTCCTGCGGCCAGACACATACACACACACACATCATCATCATCATCATCATCATCATCATCATCATCATCATCATCATCATCACAAAGTCCCAGTCTAGCTAACAATGATTGAGCCCAGCTCAATCACACACCCAGTAAGACCAGCCTCTTGAAGTCCATGGAGTCAGGGCTCAGCTCACTTTACCCACTCTGCTCCCACAAGGTTTTAACACCATAGGCTGCTCAGGGATTTTCCTACGGATTAGATGGAGTGTGTGTGTGGGCGGGTGGGGGGAGCAGTTTCACACAATGTCCAAATCTCCCATAACATCTTGTTTTGCAGAAAACACCCTGGAAGTTAAGGGACACACCTGTATAATTGATCTCCACAGCATTGTGTAAGTGGAATGAGGGTGGTGGTAGGGAAGAATGTTCACCTATTTTATACATAGAAAGTTGAGCTTCAGGAGAAGTAAATGTCTTTTCTAAGACTGCCTGGAATTCCACACCAGTGCCAAGATGAGATGCAGGGTGTCCCAGCTTCTGGTCCTGTGACTGCTAGGATGTCTCTCACCTGGACCTAGTTTCATTAGAATCCAATTTGGGGACAGGGTTGTCAAGCTAATCGATTCATAAATACATCCACCCAAGTCAGACTCTGGGATTTCAAAGAGCAAATTTCAATTTAATGGAACCATTTAATACATTGATAGCATTTTAGTTCAGTGCGCAAAATTTAAATTCATAGAAACCCACAAAGAGGAAAAAAGCATTCAAAAATATAATGGATCTATCTATCTTCTTACCCATCCACCCGTCCACTCATCCACCCATGTATCCATCTACCCACCCATCCATTCTTCTATATCTCTCTACCAAAAAAAGAGAGAGAGAAAGAGTATTATTGTCTATGTTGTCTTATCGAGGAGCTCAGGTGGTGTAGTAGGGGGTCTGTCAGGCTACTGAGCAGTTCAAACCCGGAAACCACTGCATGGGAGAAAAACAGGGCTTTCTATGACTATAAAGAGTTGTAAACTCAAAACAACAGTGGCAGTTCTGCTCTGTCCTGGAGGGTAACTGTGAGTCAGAATCGACTCAACCATGACTTTGGTTTTGTGGTATATTGTCTTATTGCCTGTGATATAGATAGATAGATGATAGATAGATAGATAGATAGATAGATAGATAGATAGATAGATATAGATATAGATATAGATATAGATATAGATATAGATATAGATAAATACTATAGAGAGTAATACTTGCCATTCAGGGCAGTCTGATTAAAAGGGTTATAGGAGAAACCTGACCGTGAACTCTCCCCAAAGCATGGGCAGCATTTACAGAGGAGGAAAGGGCATTTCAGGAAGGCGCGCTGCAGATGGCCTTGACTGGCCCGCACATCGCAGGCTCTCCTGGCCCAGTGGCTCGTGGAGGAATTTAGCTGTGACTCTCCAGGCAATTCAAACCCTTTGGACTGTTGTGAGCAAGAGGATCCTAGAGTGAAATCTAGCCTCTTTTCCTGTGTCCCTCCGTGGGATGCGTGCACAGAAGAGGATCGAGGTCCATTCAGAGAAGCCAGGGAGCCAGCCTGGGGGTGTCCTGAGGAATCCCTGTTGGATTAGGCAGCACTGTTTGAGTCAGAGAGACTGCTTAGGGGCGGGTCCAGTCCTTCAGGTACGACGTCACCAGGATCCGTACATAACAGTGTCTTCAAAGAGATAGTATGGACCAGTGGATAAGACATTGTAAAAGATGAATTGACAGGATTTCTTCACTGCCACCACCCATTAATTTATCTCAATTGCTAATTCATAGAGGCATGCTTGCACTGCAGCTATGAACCCTACAGCTTGGGGGGCCTGGTAGCCATAGAATCCGTTTGCGATATGCAGGGACCGAACAGGATCTAAATGAGCCCAACCGCTGTGCCTTCACTGGCGCCTCCCGGGCATCCAAAATAATCAGACTCACTGCCATCCAGTCGATCTGACTCAGCAACCCTCTAGGACAGGGTGGAACTGCCCCTGTGGGCTCCCGAGATGAACTCTTTATGGAGAAGAAAGCCTCCTCTTCTGCTTTTCAAACTGCAGCCCAATGATACATCACCATGGCTCTGTGAGCTCCCCCACACACCCCCATACCCCTGGTACCATTACAGTATGGGTGGCCCTCAGGCCCACATCGCCTGGGTCGCCTGGATTAAAGTGCACGAAGGCCTCATCATTAATGTCCCTCTTCAATAGGATAAAGACAAGACAGGTAGAGGTGCCAGTAGATTAATTAGACTGGCTTAATTTCTGTAAGTGAGCAATCAGTCATAATGAGTCAGCATTGCCATCAGTCAGCTGCAGTAACCAAGTTCTGTTACTGATTACTCCAGAGACAGCTGGGCTATGTCAGAAAGAATTAGGAAACTAAGACTTGGAGATCTGGGCTTGGCCATGACTCAGAGTCTGCCCGATGTCCATTGGTGGCATCCTCAGTTGGTTCAAACAGTTACCGTGCTGGGCTGTGATCAGAGTGTCCCAGGAGTGCCTCAGAAGAAAGGACTGGCTGTCTACTTCTGAAAGAGCATCGAAAGCGGTCGAGTGCAGTTCTCTGACACCCGAGTGGGCCCATGAGTAGGAATCATCAAATCAGTGGCAACTGGTCTTTTAAAGAGAGACTTCTGTTCTTAGCGTGTCTCAATGTTTGTTTTCCTTGTGGACCTTTTTATTTTTCAAGAAAAGCAGGGTGGGGGGAAGACAGAGGGTTCGTAGCGAGGACTGTGGTGAGTGGCCTGCAAGGATTCTGGAGGAATCATGGCCCTGGAGGAGGGCTTCTTCCAGACTTCGGGTCAGAGAAAGAAATGCAGGGATCTTCCTGCTTCGGCCCTTGCCTTCTCCCTCTCTGGGAAGCCACCCTGAACTTGGAGAACCATTCACCTTGTAGAAGTTCTCTCGTCTGCAGCCGAGAGAGAGAGAGACATTCCCTCCCTCGAGCTCTCATCCTCCTCCTTCCCAGGGCCATGCTGCCCTGTCTCATCGTCCCCAACAGGAGCAGGCACGGTGGGGGTCACGGTGCTGGACTTCAGACCCCCCTCCTCTCTGGAAGCGCAGTGCCCAACAGAGCTGGTTCATAATGAAGATCGTCTGAGGGAGATGGTCCTTACCATGTGTCCCACGGGGATTGATGGGTGACCCAGGAGGAAAGGGGGATTAAGGCGGAGCCACCATCCCTTCCTTTCTGAGTCTTCCTGGTTTGTTAAACATTGCACATACGGTACCTGGGAGAGGCGCCCACGGGTGCCTGCTGGATGATGGCCGATCATCTTCACAGCAGCTGCCCTTTCTTAGAAACTTTGCAGCAAACTGGGGGCTCAGGGGGTCATCCCTGTTAGATAATGAGATGGTAAATGGCGTGGTGGAGGACCTACCACTGGTAAGAGATGAGATAGGCTTTGA